TCTCTTAGTTTTGCTTCGATTCCTAATGTTTTCTTTCACGTCTTTATCTTTAACTCTATCTGGCATTTGCTGATGAAGTTCCTCACCCTCCTCATTCCTCTGATCATCTTCTCCTGGAATAAATAGAGGGATCCTCTTAGCACCTGGGAAAGCTATTAAGGTCCAAAGGCATCTATGTGACTGCCGGAGGAATGGACTGACAGCCCTTTGGCCTCATGAAGGTTGGCTGATTTTAAGCAACCCTCCAGTTTACCCACACTATCTACTATTTAAGAATATCTTATCCCCTTAAGAGTCACAGCTGAGCTCTTGCCCAGAAGCAGTTTCTGAGCCAAAATTTTCCACCTCCCAGAAGGCCTCCCTCCCTCCTTACCAAGCACGGTGTATAATTGTACCAATCCAAATATTGCTCAGAAGTGAATCTGAAATCCCCCATGGGCTATTCCTTGCCTGTTCCCTTGACATAAGCACGAAGGATACTCACTCTCAGCCTGCTCAGATGGGAAGGAAATATGCCCTTGGGATCCTTTTGAGAAACTCTCCAGCCTTTCTTTGGATGCGAGGTCATTGTCTGTCAGGACCAAAGTCTCCCTTATACTTCTGGCTTCTTTCGCTAAAATAGAAGGAGGGAGAGAGAGAGAAAGAGAGAGTGAAAGATTTCATTCTTATATGGGAAATGAAAGACGTCCAAGAGTAAAAATTCTTCTGGAAGAGCAGAACCATGATCAAAGCCCACAATCCCAAGCAGTATAAGGGGACTGGATCCGCGAGGTAAAACACCCTAGTTCCTCCAAGGGTGAATGTGATTTTATGTTTGCTTATTTATTTCTTTATACTTTTATACAGCACGTATAAGGGGGAAAAGAAGTTAAATGTGATTTTAAAGAGGCCTGTTCTGTATCACAGGTGTTTGTGGGGTTTTTAATATCCCTGCAGCTCACATCCTTACCTTTTTCAAGGCCACACGCCAAAACGTGGTAATAGGTTAATTGTGAAAATCTGTATTCAGTTGTGGAGCCAGAAGGGAGGGGGAATTAAGAGGTTGCTGACAGCCTCTGGAAAATTCCATCAGGCAGGACCCTTGATTGGGTCGTTAGGACTGCCTGACCCTAGAGAGGCAGAAAGTAAAATATGGGGGTAGACCAGAAGGAAGCCATGCTAACTTTAGGCTCATGCCATGCTAGTACTCCCTGTTATTTTCTCGCTTCATCACGATGAATAGTTTTCCATAGAGGAACTTAGGATACAGCTAGAATATTTAAGCTGCAATAAGAGTACCATCTAATACCAAGTATTTCATGTATTAGGGGCATGATGAGAATCATTCCATGGGCAAGGCTGCTGGAAGGGGAGGGAGCAAGTGAAGGGTGGGCTCTCCTAAAACAGGAGCTCTTGCAAGCCCAAGCCACTGGTATTCCCACAAGAAGGAAACATGGTAAGGAATCCAAGAGGCCAATGTGGATGAAGAGGGAACTGCGTGATGTGCTAAGGGAGAAAAAGGAAAGGTCAAGAAATGGAGGCAAGGACATGCCTCCAAAGAAGAGTATCTGTGGGTTGCCAGACCCTGTAGGTCAGCCATCAGAGAGGCCAAAGCTCACAGGGAGCTAAAGCTGGCCAGGGAGGCTCGCTACAAGAAGAAAATCTTCAGATAGGTGAGGAGCAAACGCAAGGTAATACAGGCGACAGGTGTGGAGAGCGAGAGACTCCCATGAGGCAAGCCCAGGAGATCTCATGTTCTCACCAGGAGATTGGCTTGGCAAATGCACAAGGTCTTTCTGATTCTGCATGAGTCTGTTGAATTACTGAGAGCACAATGAATTACTGAGAGGACAAGCTTTGCAACATTCAAAGATAATACGGGCTGTGAGAAGAACACAGTGTGATGTTAGTTAGAAGCTTCTAAGAGTAACGATTTCACTGTACAATGTGTGAGCTTGCTTTTCCCTCTGAATAAAAACACTGCTGACAGCCTGTCAGAAAACAGTTTGGTACAGAGAGACAGAGCTGATCAGTCAGCTTCAAGAAATCTGTTGTGGTGTGTCGTTATTGAACCCTCTCAAAGTCTACAGATGGGCCCACTGTTGGGTGAAAATGGAGAAATTTTGACAGAGGACAGAGAGACAGAGCTGATCAGTCAGCTTCAAGAAATCTGTTGTGGTGTGTCGTTATTGAACCCTCTCAAAGTCTACAGATGGGCCCCCTGTTGGGTGAAAATGGAGAAATTTTGACAGAGGACAGAGAGACGGCAGAAAGGTTTAATGCCTATTTTGCCAGTTTTTCCCTGAAGAAGAGAACAGCCTCATCTAGAGATGGTAGTAGGCAAGGCACAGCATCTGGACTGCTGATTGACATGGACAGAGAGGTAGTCGAGGAGCACCTGGCTGCGTAGAATGAGTACAAATCCCCTGGGCCAGATGGTATGCACCCAAGAGTGCTCAAAGAACTTTCTAGAGAGCTTGCAGATCATTTGTCCATCACCTTCCAGACCTCTTGGGAGGACGGGAGACGTTCCACAAGACTGGAGAAGGGTGGATGTTACTCTCCAATTTTCAAAAAAGGGAGGAGGGATGCCCCAGGAGACTACAGGCCAGTCCGTCTGACCTCTGTCCCAGGGAAGATACTGGAGCAGATTTTAAAGGCATTGTTCTGTGAGTATCTAAAGGACAACTTGGTGATCCAGGGAAGTCAGCACGGATTTGTCCCCAATAGGTCCTGCCAGACCAACCCCATTTCCTTCTTTGATCGAGTGATGAGCTTACTAGATCAAGGGAATGCTCTTGATGTTGTTTATTGGGATTTCAGTAAAGCTTCTGGAGAAGCTTCCCATGATGTTCTGATGGGTAAACTAGATGACTGTGGACTGGAGTCTAGGATAGTTGAATGGATAGGGAACTGCGTGGAGAACCGCATTCAGAGAACAGTTGTCAATGGCATTTCATTTGAAGGAAGGGGGTGTCCAGCAGTGTTCCCTCTAAGCTGAGTTAGTGTGAGCTAGCTCAAAGTCTTTTAGCCTCCAGTTCACAGATTTTTGTCTTAGCTCAAGAAGGAGGGCTCCAGAGCAAACTATTTTATGCAACAGCCAAATCGCTTACTCACAACTTTAATGCCAGCAGGTCACAAAGTAGAATTTTTGCTCACAAGACTCCACAGCTTAGAGGGAACATTGGTGTCCAGAGGGGTGTCACAGGGCTTGGTTTTGGGCCTGGTACTTTTCGATATTTTTATAAATGATCCCGATGAGGGCGTGGAGGAGATACTCATTACATTTGCAGATGACCCCAGATAACAGAGATAGAATTCAGCAAGATCTGAACACACTGGAAAAGTGGGCAGATGTGAACGAGATGCAATTTAACAAGGCTAAGTGCAGAGTTCTACAGCTGGGTAACAAAAATGAGGAACATGCATTCTGGATGTGGGATACACTTCTGGGTAACAGTGTGCATGAACAATATTTTGGGGTACGGGTGGACCGAAAGTGAAATATGAGCAGCCACTGTGACGAGGCGACAAAAAAGGCTAATGTGATCTTGGGGTGTATCAATAGATGCATAACATCCAAATCACAAGATGTCAGAGTCCCACTGTACACTGCCTGGTTCTGGCGGAGAGGTCTCCAGGCCCCGCCGGGAGGTTGGCATCTGCGCTCACCTAGAGCGTGGGACAACCTCCAGCCGGCCCTGGCCACAGCCCTGCTCCAAGTAGGGGACAGGCCTCCAAACAGTGTACTGCTATTCAGTATTTTGATTTATGCACCTTTGGCTCCTATGAAAGATCCTTACCCAGAAAGGCCACATTCCCATAGTTCTCCGACATAACTTCCCTGTACAGAGCTCTTTGTCCTGGATCCAGGAGCGCCCACTCTGCCTCAGTGAAACAGCTGGATACCTCCTCCAAGGAAAAGGGACACTGGAAGAAAAAACAGATCCACTCGTCAGGGATCACGCCAGTCAGAGGTTGCACACTGGAAGGGAGTAGTCTGGATAAGTACAGGATGAAAGACTTCGTATGGGGGGAAAAACAGCATTCATAGGGTCTCTCAGGGAGACACCTTGTAGAAACTACAGGAGCAAAAGCCTTCCCTGAGAAAGGAGAGGGGATCCAGGCTGTTCTCTGCTCATCTCTCCTACCTGGACTGGAGGTGCAGCAGCCGTTTCCACACCTCTGAAAAGAAGATGGCTCAACAGCATCTCTTCACTGCCTGTTACTGAGACAAAGGAGGAAGGAAAAGTGCTTTCTTTTTTCTTCCACAATTGTGAAACCTCGTCCAGCGTACACACTCAACAAGTTTTTAAACACTTTTTACTACATTCTTGGAGAGGCAGAAAAGATGCACTCTTAGCCCAAATTGGCAGTCTCCTGATAAGTGGGGAGAATTATCTTTAACAAAGACACAGCAAGAGGCAGGTAACTGGGATCTCCACCAATGTTTACGAGGATTTTTCCCTTAGAGAACTCTTGAAATAAACCAGTCAAAGCTTAACTGGAAAGCATTTTAATGAAATAAGAACAAAAGGAGAAGACACACATACAAACATTGAAAAATACACAAGCTAGCTAAGAGGAAGTCAGGGAAGGGCAGAGTCTTACAAAAAAAAGTTTTATGCAATTTGGCACCCAATATTTGCGTGTCTGATAGCAGGGGTAGTGGCACCAAGTAATAAACAGTACCAGAATTTATGACACTTCTAAATACACTGTGCACATAAGTAGAATATAGTTATAAATATATAGTTACTGGTTGTATTTTATTGCAAAAGCGTATGTTATCTCAAGTTATATTTTAAGCAGTTATTTCTACAGTTGCTTCTTTACAGGTATTGTGAAAATAAAAAAAATATTAATTAAAAATAAATGACACC